ACAACAACAACAACAGGGAAAAAGAGACCCTGACTCCAAGCGCCCTCGTGTGTCTCGGGGCAGAACTACGCTCCACTGTTGGGTTTCCAAGGGCTGAATTTTAGACGAAGACAGCCAGGCCTTTCTTCCCAGGCATCTCGGATGAAACCCGAACCCCCAATCTCAGTTAGCACCTGTGTGTGAGGCTTGTGCAGCCCCCAGCACGTGGAGCAGACCAACTACTGCCACACCCACTAGGACCCTGTGTGATTCCTGTGCGCGGGGACACAGCTGAGGGCCACTGGACTGTCAGAGCCCGAGTTCACAGAAGCACCCGCCAGGCCTTCTTTCCGAGGGGCCTCTCAATGGATCCAAACCTCCATGCAGGCTGGGGTCTGCACCACTCAGGGTCTCCCTCCTAGGTCTGGCGGCTGACAACGTGTTTCTGGCTACAGGGAGACTGGATAGGAATGTGCCGGGCGCACTGGGTCAGACAGGACTCCTCGATAGTGTGCCGTGTGCGGGGGGTGGGGGTGGGTAAGGCCTGTGACACAGCAGTGCTGGGTTGATCTTTGCTGACTGAAAGTACACACCCACTCACATGCGTTTCACACACACACAACACAGCACAGCCCTGGCAAACCCCTGACTAAGAACTGTGCAGAAATGCCCAGGTTCAAACAGGAACCCTTACCAGTGTGGCCAGAGGCAGAATCGCACTGGTACCCTCTCGACAGAGCACTTTACAAATCTCCCATGTAATTGTAAAAACAGAACTAGGAAGATGTAGATAAAAGTCCAGATGTGGAAGGGGCCGGGGCGGAAGGGAGGAAGTCAGTGGGATGGGAGCTGGGTGGGTGGAGGTGGCGAAGGAATCAGGAGATCCAATGGGGACCTGAAAAGACAGCATAATAGTAGGTAGGCACACATCAACGATGATTAATTTTATAAAACACAGTGTACATGAGCGATTGCTCGAAACATGACGTGACTGTAGGACTGTGTGAAACGCAATGGACATGACGTATGAATTTTGTATACAGACCAATATAAAACAAAAGCAGAAAAAAAAATTCCCCATGGAATGTATTCAAGTACTATAAAGTTTACCAGCACACACTGAGAATTATGGACAAGAATATAATTTATTCTCTCATAAAAGTTCTACCAAAAATATATACTTTCTTTAACTTAAAAATACAACTCCGGGAAACAAAAAAGGTGAGTTGTCAGAATTCATTATGTGTCTTATAAAAGGAGACGGGATGAAAGAAGTCAGTGAGCGGCTCATCGTGAACTGGGCAGAGTGTTCACTGGAGAAGCTTGACCTTGTCCTTCAGCAGCCTGAAGGCCGGGTTCTTACTGATTTTCTTGTTGAAAATGACCAGGAGTTCCTCTTCCGACCGGTGATGCTCCTCGGCCACGGCGTAATACTGAGCCAGAACCTTCAGAGAGAGACACAGAGACAGACAGACAGACAGAGAGACACAGAGAGAGAGAGAGAGAGAGACAGACACAGAGAGAGAGAGAGACAAAGGGCAAGAGACAGAGAGACAGACAGACAGAGACAGAGAGAGAGACAAAGGGCAAGAGACAGAGAGACAGAGACAGACAGGGAGATACAGAGAGAGAGACAGAGAGACACAGAGAGAAAGACAGAGACAGAGAAAGAGAGACACACACAGACAGACAGAGAGAGAGAGACAGGGCAAGACAGAGAGAGAGACAGAGAGTGAAAGATAGAGACAAAGAAAGAGAGACACACACACAGAGATACACAGAGACAAAAACACACACACACGGGGGAGGGGGGACAGGGTAAGACAGAGAGAGAGAGATAACAGAGAGAGACAGAGAGAGAGAGAGACAGAGACAGAGACACAGAGACACAGAGAGAGAGAGAGAGAGAAAATTTGGTACATGGGTACTGTGCGTTGGGGGAAAGCTGTACACGGCCCGGCTTCAACCCAGGCGCGGCCAAAGGTGCCAGAAAAGGCCGAAAACCGGGAAGCAGACAGAAAAGACGCCCACGTGCAGACCATCATCACATCCCCCGCCCACGCTCCTCAGACACACTCACTCCCCCTACACCCCCACCCAGGTTAACTGGCTTCGTATGCATCCATTTACAGTATCCACTCACACATTTACATACTCACCTTCACCCACACACTCCTTCAGCCCAATTCACACATTTACACAGCCTACTTTTCCTTCACACCCCCCAGTCCGCTCACACACCCACACTGTACACATCCACCTGTTCATTCACATGCACGTCCAGTCACACCTGTCCGCTCACACGTCTACCTGCAGTCACACAGCCCTTTCATTCACATCCTCCCCTCGCACACCCACCTAGTCATTCACACACCCCTAAACACTCACACAAGCTCTCACACACACTTACATCCAAACCCACAGTCACACACACAGCATTTCAGACTGTCAAAAGAACTACGTTTTGATGTTCCGAGAGGCTCCTCTCTGTGTCACGAGCCCCGGGCTGAGCCCGCATCCTACCTTCTTCTTCAGCTTCTTGACGGCTATCTCGCTGTCGGGCGCTTGTCTCAGGACGGCTTTAATTGTGCCCTTCCAGTTGAATTTACCTGCAACACACACAGCACCATGTCAGGCATCCTGGTGTCACCTCTCCAGAAACGTGCTTTGTTGGCACTTGGTTCTGGTGACAGGATCCCCCAACTTCAGAGGCCTGGGAGCTCTCAGAGACCCCGGGGCCCCGAGGGTTCTCCGAGGCCCGGGAGCTCTCAGAGACCCCGGGGGCCCCGAGGGTTCCCCAAGGCCCGGGAGCTCTCAGAGACCCTGGGGTCTCTGAGGGGCTGTGGAGAGCCAGGGCCTCCGAGGGGGTTGCAGGCCCCACAGTCCTGGGGCTGGTGGGAACGGATCAGTGACCACGCAGGGACCCAAGCCCTGCACACGTCCTGCAGGAAGGGCCGCGCTGCAGCAAAGGGGATCAGCCAGGACCCTGCAAGCATCCTCTGGCACCAGGGGGAAGTCTAAAGAGAGAGACCGAGACGGGCAAAGGGGCTTGTCCTGAGTAGGGAGAAGATGGCCACAGCCGGCCACCGCAGCGGACTCCACTCCCAAGAACCCCACGGGGCGGAGAGCAGCGCTCGCAGGGGCTTTTGGAAAGAGGCAGCCAAGCTCGTCTCCTAGGCTGCCCCTGGGTGGGCTCAAACAGCTGACCCTTCCATTTGCAGCCGAGCGTGCTACCATGTGCCCCACCCAGGGACTCCAACCATCACACACAGACGTGTTTAAGAAAAAGAACCACCAGAAAAGCTACTCACGACCTCGAGTCTAACGTCAGAGGCCCCTGGGTCTACACGTAAACACGGCTGCCAGAGAGCAAAGTGTTAAGTCCATTTTAAACCACTAACCTCTGAAAAGAGCCCGGATTTCAACAGCATCCGGTTAACCTTGGCGCTGTTCAGAGGTCTGCCAGGTGTACGATGATGCCACCTACCCCAAAGGGCCTTCTCCTCGGCCACAAAGACGCAGGATGGGACTGCCTGTGCCCCGAGGGTCCTGGCACACAGCAGTGACAGCAGATCTTTCCAACAAATCCCCAGCAAGAAGCATAATGGGGAAGCACCTGACAAAGTGGTCATACCAGGAAAACCTGTTCTCTACTGGTCCTGGGACCACTGGGGCGTAAACGGAGCAGAGCACATCCTCCCGTCCGTGTGTCAGGACGCACCCCGCCACTCTCACTTCCAGGTAACCAGTCATTAACTCCCCGATAGCTGTTCAGCCAAGTATCAATCTGGGGATCTCATGCCCTGATTCAACAGGGTAAGCATGGCCCCTTCCTCTTGCCCTGGTTGGGGGTAGAGGCGTTTCCACTCTGGGACACTGGCCCGTCCTGTCCCCCAGTAGATTTCATTTCCTTTCCCTTCAGCGGACTCCTGTGATGCTGTTCCACAAGGCTGCCCCCACCAGGGACCCCGGCTTTCTGAGGAGGAAGGTGGCACCCTCCTGCTACGTCTGTAGAGCCCTGGATGGTGCCTCACGCACTCGGCAGACACAGCGGGCTCTGAAGGCAGAGGAGGAGCAGGGATCGCTGGGAGACAGCGGGGAGTTTCCCAGGCTGCTTCCCACCTCGGCTGCGCGATTCTGAAGGATTCCAGGACCATCAGGGGGTGTGGGGAAAATCCCCCATGAATGCCGAGGACCAGGGACAAAGCAGCCAAGGAAGACAGAACTCTCTCCCGTGACAACCGCTCCATCCCAGCCACACATCACAGAACTGTGTCCTCCACAAACCACCACCGAGGCCAACCGGGAGTCAGACCCGTGTCCCAGGCCCCCAAGGCCGCAATGAGGCAGGGCTGTCAGTGGGGACCCTCACAGGGAGCCAGAACGCCCCCAAACTGGTGTCAGTGGATGACCAGAGAGGAACCCCCCCCACTTCTCCCATCAGTTGATGGTAATCAAATGGTGCCCCCTTGCCCTGTCATGTGGGAGAGAAAGCCAGCCATGCGGAAGGCGTAACCCTTTAGACTCATGGGACACATATAAAAAACGGCCCACCTATTCCTTGGAGAGAGATATCACGCTTCGAAAGGGGAGGGTCAGTGAAGGAGAGGAAGATCCTTAATAAGACGGGTTGACTCGGTGACCGCAGCAGTGGGCTTGGGTCGGCGCAGGACAGGACCGGGTTCAACGCTGATGTTTACAGGGTCACTGAGTCATATATACCACCGCCGCCACCACTGGCACCAGCACCACCACCAGCAGCAGCACCACCAGCACCACCACAAGCAGCACCACCAGCACCAGCACCAGCAGCAGCAGCACCACCACAAGCACCACCGGCACCAAGTTTCCTGGGAAAATGCTGTCCCTGTTGTAGTCCACGCTGCCACCTCGCGGGAACCCGCAGAACCTGGTCTCACCCCACCTATCCCACCACCAGAGTCCACCTGGGGCATCTGTGTCCCCGATAATCATTTCCAAATCCGTATCACCTCAAAAACTCACACAGAGTTCACCATTACCGACAACACACGCCAGCCACAAAAAGCCCGAGCGGAAGGTGATCCGGTCGTGAACGGGGTGAGGAAGGGCCGGAGCCTCACATCCTGACTAGAGAACGTCCAAGCTCTAGCTGAAAATCACACCGTTCCGAGAACCGGGAATTCTCAAACTGAGCAGCGAAGACAAGGAACAGACCCCCAGGAGATGACAAAAGGGGGTAGAAAGGTTTCCGCGACAGCACGACACAGATGCTTCAAAGGCAGGGAGAAAAGTACAACGATGAATGAATGGAAATCCAAAATCTCTGTCAATTTTCATTAGAATTAATGATAATAAATTAAAAAAGATAACAAAAAGATAATTATGGTCTAGCAATAGATAAAACAAAATAAAATAGGAAAAGAAAAAAAAAAGCTTCAGCAAGCAAATATACACGGGTCAAAGAACAGAGAAGGTTCAGGAAAGAATCTGCACTATGAGGGGGCCTGGCAGAAGAGGGTTCGGTCCCACAGCTACCCCAGAGGAGAAATCACTACCAGAAAGAGGAGCAGGTCCAAGCACACCAACACCAAACACCTTCTAAATTGTCACAAGGCAGAGAGGAAGCAGAGAAATCTCAAATTCCCCCAAACCAAAGGAGCAGGCAGTCTGTCGGACCACGGGGCGCGGCCAAGCCAGTACTGGGAGGGAGAGGCATAGCACCTCTCCCAGAACATGCCCACCACCAAGAGAGGCCTCCCCTGGCCCCCTCCGGACAGAAAGGCACACAGGCCCAGAGCAAGGAGGACATGATCGGGTGCAGCAACCAGGCGGAGAACGAACGGACAAACAAAGCCACCATGCGGAGAGCTGGTCCTCTGAAAAGATCCACAAAGTGAACAACTGTCCTGGTCAATCAGCAGTACCAGAATCAGAGTGGGGGTTTAATCACCACAGAGCACAAGGAAAATGCTGTTGTCCCTCCAGCGGGTCTTCAGGGGCAGCTAACCGCACGGGAGGAGACAGCCCATCATTCTCCCATGGAGAAGCTGGTGCATTTGAACTGCATGCCTTTGGGAGGGCAGCCCAACTCCTTCCCACCAGGCCACCAGAGCTCCCTATAAAGGTGTTATTGTTGTGGACCATCAAGTTGGAACTGACCGAGAGCTGACTCTTCAGCAGCTTCTCAGAGACAGTAAATCACACAGGAGTAGAATGTCCACCTGTCTGGAGCAGCTGGTGGATTCGAACCGTGCACCTTTGGGACTGCAGCACAGTTTCTCACCATGAGGCCACATTGCTTCTCCCTCTCAAGCAGTGTTCTCTGCCCTGAAATGACTTTATCCGATGTTAGCACAGCCATTCCGACATTCCTCTGATTGAAAGAATAAGAGACACTCCAAACAACCCCAAGGAGCCCTGTGGCATGCTGGTTAAAGCGCACGGCTGCTAGTCAACAAGCTGATGGTTCAAATCCACCAGAGAGGCAGCAATAGGCTATGAGGCCTCACCAGGTGGTCCTACTCCACCCTACAGGGTCGGCAACGACTCCAAACCCCCGACAATTCATACAAATAAACCAGACTACCTCCCTCTAAACAAAGACGCTCTGTGTGAAACGGCTCATCCAAAGAGCCCAGGACTATGAAGGAAAATACATGTGTCATCAAGCAAGTCCTCAAAAGGGAATCTCTACACCCAGCTGGAGAGTTCAAGCAGACGCTTAAGGACAAACTGAGATCTATTTACACAGCATCGCACGTAAAATAAATGCAGGGAGCAGGTCTGAGCTCAGTTTCTAAAGCTGTTTTCAGAAAAGGAAAATTACAGACCAAGATCCCGTGAATACAGATACCCAAATCACTCAAATACAGACACCCAAATCCTTAACAATAAGCAAACATGGCTCGGTTAACGCTGTCACCAACTGGGGTTTATGCCAGGGATGATAGACTCGTTCAACAGGCAAAGTCACTTAATAAAAGAGCTAAAGAAGAAGTCTGCCAGGTGCTCCCAGCAGCTAACGTGAAAACACAGAGCACTTTACAACACACGCTCCAGAACACGGGCTGAGAGGAGCGCTCTGGACTCGAGACAGAGGACAGGAGAGGACCTCCGACTTCAAGGCCACCTCTCCTCCTTTGCTGGACTCACTGTGCCATTTGCACACCGGTGAGCAGCTCGGGTAGTTCGGACTCACCACTGTCGTTGAGGACAGTGCCCGAGGCCATCCCAAGGCACAGGGACTCTGAGACAGAGGAGCACTGCCCCACACGGAGTCTCGGCGGAAGCTTTAGGAGAGCCGACCTTTAAGCTTTTCTCCTTTGGAGGCGCTGAGTGGTTTTGAACTGCCAACCTTCAGTTAGCAGCTAAGTTAGAAAAAGTCAAATACAGCTTTACATGCAGAATCAAAAGGCACCGCACAGTGAGGTGCAGACCACCTGACCAAGGCCCAGAGCAAGTCTTTAAAATCTGGGTGTCCCAGAAAAGGTGACAAGGATAGGAACAATGACACTCTCAAGCCTACAGGAAATTTTAATCTCCCCCTTAGGACACCACGCGTGTGGCACAGTGACCACAGCGACCGGCTCCGTGGACGGCAGAGGAGGAAACAATGGTGCCCGGCTCAAAGAGGGCGGCTGACCGCACACTCCCAGAGCTGTGTGTGCTCACTCCAAGTTTTCCAACGATCCAGGCTCCTAAAGGGGCTCTCTGTGCCTCTTCAGAGCCTCCCTATTCCAGCCCCACTGCTCACAAAGTTCCCTCTCCCAGTTACTATGTGCTCAAATTTAAAATATCCAGGTCTCTCTGGGTTTTGCTTCGTTGGCCAAGACTGGCCTGGCTGGCAGCCTGCTCTGGACGGTGCGACCCGCCAGCAGACACCCCCTCGAGCCCCCTCCCTCCCCCAGGGGCAGCTTGGGGTCACCCTCCAAGCCAAGAGGACAGGGCTTTAACCGAATAGAGGTACCTTTCATGGGGGTGGGCTGGGCTTCTGTTTCTTCACCCTCGGGATGTGCTGGGGGCTTTAGCTTTTTCTTCTTAGTCTCTGCTTCTCCTGTGTGTTTAGACAGATTTGAAAAATGCAGTTAGGATGGCAGCTCCCACCCAAGGCGGGTCTCCCTGGAGCCAGGCCTGTGACACGCACCACGGGGCTCCCTCCCCAAGGCACGCTGGCTGTCATCATCCTCCAATCTAAAGCCAAACCCTCCACACCCACTGTTATCAAGAGATACAGCCCCTACAGAACGGAGCAGAGCTGAGCCTGGGGGTTCCCACGCTGGACCCTTCCTCCTACAGATGCCACAGCTTCCTCCCAGGGAGCGCTAAACTACTGATCACCTTCCACTCAGCAGCCAACAGCTTAACCACGGAGCCACCAGGGCTCGTGCCCTGCTGTCTAGGGCTGTGGACACGCACCTGCAGAGGAACCAGCTGCTCTGGACTGGGCCTGACTTTGAAGTCTGTGCGCTGTACCTCACTTGGTTTAAGACGCTGGCCCCAGGGACAATGGACAGCAAGTCTGTCCTGCCCTCCTACGTCGCAGCGCCCAGTGCCCTCTGTGCCCAGTGTCCAGCGGGAGGCCAGCCCCTTACCTTCTGAGTGCTTCCGTTTCCGTTTGCTGGCGGTGCCCACCTGTGGGTCCTCCTGGGCCCCGTCCCCGTCGACACCCCCGTTCTCGGGGCACTTGCCCCGGTTCTTCTTCTTCTGTCCCTTCTTCCTGGCCGTGCCGTTGGCCTCGGGGGCCTCCTCTGTGCTGCTGGCCTCGGGGGCCTCCTCCGTGCTGCCGGCCTCGGGGGCCTCCTCCGTGCTGCCGGCCTCGGGGGCCTCCTCCGTGCTGCCGGCCTCGGGGGCCTCCTCTGTGCCACCAGCCTTAGGGGTCTCCTCCGTGCCTCCGGTCTCCGGCTCGGCCTCCAGCCCCTTTTTACGCTTTTTCACCTTCTGACTTTTGTCGCTCTCCGGCTGGCTCTCGAGTTTGAGTTCTTTCTTTTCTTTTTTCCGGTTCTTCTGCCGCTCCTCCTTCTTCTCCCGCTTGTTCTTCTTCACTTCCGCCGGCTTCTCGGGGGCGTCGTGTTCGGAGGGGGGCAGGACCTTAGCGGGGGCTTCAGTCTTTGGAGCGGGCTCCTGGTTGAGGGGCTGTCTCTCCGGGCCCTCACTGACGGGCTCCTGGAAAAACAAAGAAGACAGTCCAGCCACCAAAGGTCACGGAATCACACATGAGCTGAGTAAACGGCCCAGCACAGACGGATTAGTCACCCACCAGTTTCTATCTGCCACTCTCCCAGCAGCTAAACCAAATCAAACCCACGTCCACCGCCGTCCCGTTGATGGACACTCTGCCAGGTGACTAAGGTTAGACTCTCACAGGAGACAGAAAAGGACACTCAGCATCTACCTGCCACTCTCCCAACAGCTAAACCAAATCAAAACCACGTCCTCCGCCGTCCCGCTGATGAGGACCCTCTACCGGGTGTCTGAGGTTAGACCCTCAGAGGAGACAGAGGAGGACACTCAGGTGCGGTGGTGACCACGCAGACCTGGGTTCAAGCTTTGCACCTGCTCACTACCAGTCAGGTAACTCAGGGAAAAGCTGGTCGTCTGCTCTGAAGCTGCTTCCTCGTCTGGGTGATGAGAGGTGTCAGGGACACTGCAGACGCCCGAGGTCAGAACAGGAGATAAGGCGGTCGTGTGTCCAGCGCAGTGGACGCCCGAGTCGAGGCAGGACAGCCGTCCTCGGGGAGATGGGCAGGGACATCACGGAGGGACAGAGAGGAGCAGCCACACACCCTGGCGTGAGACCCCCTTGTGTGCACTGCCCTTGCCCTGGTGTGAACTGTTGTCCAGCTGGCCCTCGGCTCACAGTGACCCCAGATACAAAAGAACACGCTGTGGCTCAGACCTGCACGCCCCCCCCCACCAATGACCACGTATGGGACCGAAATCCGTAAGGCAACGACTTTTGGAGATGGATTGTCAGACCTTTCTTCCTAGTCTGCCTTCTTCTGGACACTCTGCTGAAATGTCTTCAGCAAGATATGATCCTGCACTGATAGATGGGTGGGGGCTGCAGCCGAGGGGGCACCAGCCTGGGGTTAAACCTGGACCTCTTACGCGGAAGGTGAAAATTCTATCCTGGACAACTGACTTCACTTTCTGTCTTACTTGAATAAAGTCAAGCACACAGAGCCTACTTTTAAAGGGGGGGAAAGCCTCTGCAGAGTTATAGGGAGCTCTGGTGGCCTAGTGGTTCAGAAGCTGCACTGCAATCCCTAAAGCATGTGGTTCGAATCTCCCAGCCACTCCACAGGAGACGGGTCAGCAATGTCCTGTGTGATTTACTGCCTCTGAAAACCTGCTACGGGTTCACTGTGACTTGACAGCACACAGCAATTACAGAGCTCAGTCCTGTTCACCGTTAGAATGTTCTAGAGTCCACATGCCAGCCCGTTTTAAGGGGAGACCAAAAGCAAGTTACTGTGTCCCAAACAGGACATGTAAAGGACTGGCTTCCCCAGAGGCCTCTGTGAGGAGGGACACTCCACGTAGGGCCAGTCTCGCTGCCAGGGTATCTATCGTAGCCCTGGCTGAAGGCTGGATGGTCAGAAGTACTTTCTCAGCTGCAGGTTAGACACTGGTGGTCCAGGCGCACGGGGCAAGAAGGCAGGGGCTGAGTTAGGAGGAGAGCTTGAGGGAGAAGGGGCAGAAGGCCTTCACACCTGTCCTACTGTGCTCCCACCCTCACACAGCATTCCTAGAACCGCTGGGGAAAAAGAGGAAGTATGGAGGGGAGGCTGGCACGATTGCATTTTGCCAGAGCCAACAGCCAACAAATTAAATGACATGTGGCACAGGGCAAATCTGTTGCCAAGGGCCTCTATAAAAAGTGCTGAAGAGCAAGGCTGTCAGGTCAAGGACTAAGGTGTGCCTGACCTGCACTGTGGTATTTTCGACTTGAGTTAATTGTGCATCTGAAAGTTAAGCCGGTGAGTAAGGAACACCAAAAGAGAACGCCCCTGAACTGAGAAGATCGCTGATAGACCGTGGGCTGCCAGGGGCACAGAGAGGAGGAGGGAGGAAGAAGAGTAAGCAGGGGGCTCCGGAGCCTTCATCGCACTCAGCTCTGCGGCCATCAGAAGGGACCAGCTCCTGGAGAAAGACACCATGCCTGGGAAAGGTCCAAGAGGACCCTGAACTACACAGACTCAGGCAGAGATGTCTACTCTGAAATGGAATTCTTCCTCCTTTGGAAGGAAGGACGCTCAGGGGTGACCTGTTCTATCTCGGAAATGACATTTTGCTCTCTTCACGGATGCTATCCTTGATGTTATCCCACAACTCATCGAGTCTTCGATCTTTGATGTTCAATGTTTCAAACCTGTTCTTAAGATGATCTTGAAAGTCAGGCGGAATAGGTGAAAAACCTATCCTATCTTGGTTCTCTTGTAGACATAATTATTTTTTAAATACTAGTTTATTTACAAAAATCGAATATGTTGTTTTTCACACCAGATTCTTCCCATTTCCTTCACCCCTATATACCCATCAAATTGTGCGACCCCCAGCGAGCTCTGGCAGCCTAGTGGCAAGATGCTGTACTGCAATCCCAGAGGTGTGTGGTTAGAATCCACCAGACGCTCTGCTGGAGAAGGAGGAACAATCTCCTGTACCAGTCAGATCTGATTTGATGGCATACAAATAAAAAAAATTAAAAAAAAAAATTGTGTGACCCCATGATTAGCTCTTCCCACCCCCTCACCCCTCTGCCTCCACCCCTCCTTCCCCTTGGAATCTCATATTCCTTCTACAATAAAGGTTTTATGTAGTATTTGTCCTTACAGGACTGAGTTCATTCAGTGCTCTCCAGTCCCTCCCAAGTTAGGTAATAATTTACAAAATCATCACTCCTGCATGCTGCATAGCATTCCAATGTGTGAATGTACTGTAATTTCTCAATCCATTCCACTGTGGTTGGACATTTGGGCTGTTCCCACGTTCTTGTGATGGTTAATAATGCTGCTGTGAACATTGGTGAACAAGTCTCTGTTTACGACTCAGTTCTCATTTTCTCAGGGTATAGCCCAAGCAGTTAAAGCTAGGCCTGGGACAGACTGTGGGTCAGGTCATCAGTGACTCATGTGCAAGTTCAGACTGAGCCTGAAGAAAAGGAAAATAAATGCACAATCTGAACTTGCACATGAGTCATTGATGATCTGACCACAGTCTGTGCCAGGCCTAGCTTTAACTGCTGATACTGAACTTCTCCAACGATTTCTTCCACAGATGCAGTCAATCTGATTCCTACGCAGCCCACCAGGAGAGGCCCAGGTGTAAAGTCAATGTTTGGGTCTTTCCAAAAAGGTATCTGCAGTGGATACAATCATTGAAAATACAAAATGTGATCATTCTGTTTCCAGCTTCCAGGCCTCACAGAGCAGTGAACACTGTCATCTGCTGTCCATGTGATGCCCACTCATGGCGGTCACGTGTGCAGGGCAGACGGGGCTCCGTGGGGTTTTCAGAACTGGGAGCTGTGGAAGCAGGTGACCAGGCCCGTCTTCCAAGGTGCCCCCAGGTGGGAACCAACTGCCTGCCTTCCAGCTCAGGGTTGAAGAAGAGCTCACGCAAGGGAGCCTCCAGGGCGCTCAGATATAGTATCAATCAATCAATCAATCAATCAACCAATCAATCAACCGCACTATCCATCAAGGTAAGGAAGCAGAGGCTCAGAGAGAGGAAGTCACGTGGCCAAGGTCACACAGTGGCAAACACCGTGTCAGGGCTTTGCAGCAGCCCCGCCAGGGCCCCCCGCACGTGGGCACTCCGTGGCTCTGAACCCTGTACGCGGGCACTCCGTGGCTCTGCCATGGCACTGTGCTGCCCGGGGCCCGCGGCTGCACTGCTGGGCTCACGCCTCTGCAGGGCCGTCTACGTGCCCAGTAACGCGCTCTGGAAAAGCTGGCCTCGCCCACTGCACGCCGGGCTTCTGCCCCAGGACAGATCTAAGGGGAGAGCGGACTTACGTTCTTGGAAGCTTCGGAGAAGATACTCCACACCTGCTCCAGGATCGCCTCGTTGTGAATTTTCAAACTGTTCTTCATCCAGTTCTGTAAGGCACAGAGACAGGCATCGGAAGTCACCTCCAGGGCCACCAGGGACCTGTCACACCACCTCCAGGGCCACCAAGGACCCGTCACCCCACCTCCAGGGCCACCAGGGCCCTCTCACTCCACCTTCACGGCCACCAAGGACCCATCACCCCACCACCTTCACGGCCACCACAGACCCATCACCCCACCTTCACGGCCAGCACAGACCCATCACCCCACCTTCACGGCCAGCACAGACCTCTTACTCCGCCTATGCGGCCAACACGAACCCATCACTCTATTTTAAGACCAGCACAGGCCCGTTACTCCACCTTCACTACCAGCATGGATTCATCACCCCAACTTCATGGCCACCACAGATCCGTAACCCCAACTTTGCAGCCATCAGGGACCCTATCACCCCATCTTCATGGCCAGCATGGACCCATTACCCCATCTTCAGGACGGTCAGAGACCCGTCATCCCACCTTCATGGCCACCAGGGACCCGTTACCCCACCTTTGCGGCCACCACGGACCCATCCCTCACCTTCACGGCCGGGGTCTGCTAACGTGTGGGCTCCACGTAGCTGCCCTCAGGGACAGGGCAGCAAACTCATACCTGGACCTTCCCCCCACCCTCTGTATGTAAGCCATTTATGTAAATACACACACACCCTCCCTCTCCTCCCCTCCCCTCTTTCTCTCTCTCTGCCACCTGGCTGACCCTGACTCATAAGAGACTCTCAAAGACAGGCTGAACTGTGCAGAGGGCTCTCGTGCTGAAATCTTCCTGGAAGCAGACTGATGGCTCATACCTGGAACTTGGCTCTTTTCCTTGGGATGTTGTCAAAGCCGCTAATGTGTTCTAAGAGTTCTCTCACTTTGGGGCTGACGTTGGGTCTTTTTACCAATTCATTAACTTTCTACAAAAAAGCAAGAGAAAGCAAAACATAAATAACTGCCACCACTTAAAGTTTCATGAAAGCAAAAGTGAAAAAAGAAAGCTCACGAGGGTTCAAGATCCCATTTCAAGACGAGATTGTGCAATCGGGTCTGTGTTTAAAAACAGAGATGGACAGTAGGACAACAAATGGCCCTGCCTGCTTCAAGGAGACATGATGAAAACAAAGTAAGGCATGAAGATATTCCAAACAGTCAAAACAACTCAAAAGCCATAGTAAACTGTAAGCCAGAATGATTCCCTGAAGTCTTCTTAAAATCAAACAACCATTTAGCTTAAGCATGGAAAAAATTGTCTGCCTTGATGACTATGGTCTTTTAAGAACTATCAAGCTGGAATGAAGGGACAACAGCAAATGAAAGGTGTCATCAGGTCCTCGGGGAGCACTGAGCTTATGCTACCCGGGGAGGAACAACTCAGGAAACGGGAGTCAGGACCCTGCACACATCGGGGAGGGAAACAGCCTCACTGAACTCCACGTGCACAAACTGACAATGGGGAGATTCTGCTGTGTCGCTTTCAACCACACAAGAAGTAAATAATTTTTTAAAATGTCATAAACACTAGTACTGAACAGAATTGGTTCTTCTGTACGTGGTCACTGTCCGAATTCACGCCAGGCAGTCAGCTATTCCACCGCTATGGCCGCTGTTTATGCGGCGCCCCCCATCCCACCCCACCGCACCCCGCAATTCCCAGCCAAAAACAAACTAGCTGACAGCAAAACATTTGCACACACGCGTGGATTGAGATAAGAGCATCAGCAGTCAGAAGCGAAATGCTCTTTTCCAGTCGGCAGGTTTTCTTTTCACCCTGTTGGAAAAGTTTTTGATGCACACAGGCATTTAATCTTTACAAGATCCCATTCATCAATTTTACCCTCTTCAGATTCTGCATTTCTGGCTCTATTTGGCAGTCTCTTAATACCTAAATTAGGCCTTCTTAGCTTGATCCCAGTCTGTCTCTTATGAACTTTATGGTTTGGGGCTTTACTCCCAGGTCTCTGATCCACCTTGAGTTGATTTTTGTGTATTTTGTGAGATGTAGGTCCTGTTTCAGCTTTCTGCAGGTAGCAGTCCAGTTTTGCCAGCATCATTTGTTGAAGAGGCTGTTATTTTCCCATCTGATAGGTTTTATTTCCTTGTTGAGTACCAGTTTGACCACAGATAGCTGGGTCTATTTCTGGGTTCTCAGTTCTGTTCTACTGCTCTACGTGCCTGTCACTATACCAGTACCACGCTGTTTTCGTTACTACTGCTGTGTAGTAGATTTTGAGGTCAGGGAGTTCTATGCTTCTCACCTCATTTTTGTTTCTCAGAAGTGTTTTGCTTATTCAGGGCCTGGAGAGCATTATGTTGAGTGAACTAACTCAGTCCCATAAGGACAAATACTGTATAAAACCTTATTATAGATAGAGTGAGTATGAGGCTCCAAGAAGAGTTAGGGTGGAAATAGAGGGGTGTGTGTAGGGTGTTAATCATTGTTGTTATTGTTATGTGCCGTCGAGTCGCTTGCAACTCACAGTGACCGTATGTACAACAGTTGTAAATCCTGCTCTGTCCTGTGCCAATCTCACTGCCTCTGACACTCCCATCCCGATTACCCCAGTCACTGAATCAATCCACCTCATAGAGGGCCTTCCCCTCCTGCGCTGTCCCTCCACCCTCCCAAGCATGATGTCCTTCTGCAAGTACTGGTGCAAAAAACAAAACTAAACAAAAACCCCATAGGGTTGCCCAATTCGATGGGTAGGTGCGGTGAAGGAAATGGGAAGAATCTTTAGTGAAAAACAATGTATTCGATTTTTGTAAATAAAGCAGAATAAAATTAACAACAACAAAAAGACGTCGGCAGCAGAGCCTGAGGCCCTCAAGCCCAGAGAGTCCCGCGCGCCGAGGGCCGAGACCTGCCCGCTCCATCAGTCCCACCTGAGGAAGGACAAGTGCATTACCTGAATCCACGCCTGCTGCTTCATGTCGCCTTTGTGGGTTTTGCCTTCGTAACCTTTGCCGCCGTACTTCTGATCTTCACTTATGCACTTGATGTGGTTTTTGTAGTCATCGCCCCTTGTAAGGGAGAAAAGACAGGACACTGTGAGACCAGCACTAAAGCAGAGGCTCTGCCCGAGGCCGGTCCACGCTGCGTTCCTTCCCGACTGTCCGCTGTCCAGGCTCCCCAACATCTCCCTGTCCCCCCAAACCTCTCGTCCTGACTACCTCGTTCCTCCACAAGTCATTCAGTATAAAACCACATCTCCAGCTTCTCACTCATTTTTTTACATGAAATGTACTAAACCAAATTGAGGTGTACAATTGGTTTCTTTGGGTGCTTTCCCCCCAAAAAATGAATATATCCCGAACAGTCATGATCTTTGCAATCACTTGCTATGTATCAGAAAGCTGGACAATGACTAGGGAGGATACAAGAATTGATGCCTTGGCGAGCTCTGGTGGCCTAGTGGCAAGAGGCTGCACTGCAATCCCAGAGGTGCACGGTTCAAACCCACCAGATGCTCTGCTGAAAAAGGAGGAACAATTTCCTCCTATACCAGTCAGATCTGATTTGACGGTACACACACACAAACAAGAAAATAAAATTAAAAAAAAGAAAGAAAGAATTGATGCCTTTGAGCTGTGGTGTTGGAGAAAAGTACTGAATATACCATGGACTGCTAGGAAAGCAAACAGATTTGTCCTGGACACGGTGAAACCAGGCTGCTTCTTGGAGGCAAGGATTCTGAAGCTTCATCTGACCTACTTTGGACATGTTGCAAGGAGGGATCAGTCCTTGGAGAGGGACGTCATGCTTGGGAGGGTGGAGGGACAGTGCAGGAGGGGAAGACCCTGGATGAGATAGATGGACTCAGTGGCTGGGATAATGGGGGTGGGCGTGTCAGAGACAATAATGTTGGCTCAGGATAGAGCAGGGTTCAGAGCTGTTGTATGTAGGGCTGCTATGAGTTGCAAGTGACTTGAAAACATATAACAACAACATTACAAATAGGAAAAAATAATTTTCTCCAACCAGGTAGTTTCCTAGGGATTTTTTCTTTTTAATAGGTTTTTTTATTGTTGTTGTTAGGTGCCATCAAGTCAAGTACAACTCTTATCAACTCTATGAACAACAAATCTGAAATCATAATTATTTATAGGGTTTCCTATATTTTTTTATAAAAAGATATTAAGTCTAGCAGCACCATGATAGATGAAGAAGAAGAGATTGAGGTCGTTAAATAACTGTAACTTGCTCGGCTCCACAATCAACAATCTTGGCACAAGCAGTCAGGAAATTAAAGACAAATTGCACTGGGAAAATCTGCTGGCAGGGACCGCTCCAGAGAACTAGTCTAGAAAGTAAGGTGTGCCTGATCCAGGCCGAAGTCTTTGCTATGCATCACAGAACCAGACAATGACTACGGATGACAGGAGAATTAGCCTCTGAGTTGTGGCGCTTGAGGAGAAGTCATGAACATACCATGGACCACCAAGAAAACAAACAGGTCTGTCTTGGAGAGGGTGAAACCAAGTTTCTCCTTAGAGGCTAGGATTTTGAAGTTCCCGCTTCACATAATTTGGGCATGTGGCCAGGTGGGACGGGTCCTTGGAGAAGGAGGACATCATGCTTGGAAGGGTGGAGGAACAGTGTAGGAGAGGAAGACCCTGGATGAGATGGATTGACACAGTCACTAGGGCAATGGGGGTAGGTGTGTCTGAGTCAGTTAGACTGGGACAGAATAGAGCAGGTTTCAGAGCTATTGTACACAGAGGTGCTATGAGTTGCAAGTGACTTGACGGCACATAACAACATTGCTAAGTCTTATGGTTTTTGCTATAAATAGGTCCATGTGCATAGTTATACAAAGGGGCAAAACGGTGGGAACTTTTAAACACCCTGAAGGAAAAATGTCCTGTGTCTGGGACTTCAGGTCCATCGTCCTGGGAGACATCAATGTCGACAAGCGTAACGTAGTCCTGTTACTCTAGTTAGTAGTGACTAACATCTTAACTGCCTCCAGGCAGTGACCAAGAGGTAACTACTGGTCTCCACTCATTTAGAGCAAAAAAGAATGAAGGCAAATGAAAGGTGATAAGTCAAAAGGAGCCTGGTGGGACGCTTATCTAACTGCTAATCACGAGGCTGGTGGCTCAGATCCACCAGTCGTCGTGTGGGAGGAGTTATTCAGCCTTGGGAACGCATGGAGCTCGGCCACAGCAGGGTTGGGACGGGGCTCTTCTTAGTCTCAAGGACGAAAGGGCTACGTGACCTTCAGTCTCCCCACTCCTGAGACCCAAAGAACTAGATGGTGCCCGGCTGCCAAGGCTGACCCACTCTGGGAAGGGTCACAGCACATAGTCGTTGAAAGAAAGGAATCAAAATGTGGAACAAAATTAAAAATCGTAAGAAACAAATGAACAAAACAAAACAAAACAACAATTTCCCTTAAAAAAAAGTCAGGTTTACTGATGTGAATGAGACTGATGGGATCCCTGAAGCTACGGCCTTCGGTGCTCTGGGGGCCCAGTCTGTAGAGAGCTGCACGGCTAATCCAAAGGCCGTCTTTCTGCAGGAGTAAGACAGGTAATCTACCCTCATGTGATTTACAGCCTTGGAAACCTGGGGACAGTCAGTTCTAAGTTGGTTCTGACTCGACAGCCAAAGTGAGACAGAGAAAGGGAAAGAGTGGCTTGGTGAAGGGAGGGAGGGAGGGAGAGGGAGAGGGAGGGAGAGAGAGCGCGAGCGAGAGCGTGAACTGAGGGCCCCCAGGACTTCACTTCCAGTCAAACAGCAGACGGGCCTATAATCTGATCAATAACGGGCCTATAAGCTGATCAATAACCCCGGGGAAGAAGGCAATCAAACACTCAGGATCCGAAGGGCAGCATCTGCGCAGGACAGCAGGACAGAGCTTCGAAGGCAGGAGGGGAGAAGAGAGAACAGATGCTAACAGGAAGCACAGGGTGGAGGTGGGACTGTCAAATGAGGTAAAAAACAAACAATATGCATGAAGTCCAACGTGCTCCGGATGGTTCTACAAGTCATTTACCGTAAGAACGAATGTACTTTAAAACGAATCACACCACGTTTAGTTAACAGACCACACTGCTGTGTATAGCCGAGTCAGGACTGACTCCTAGCTGACTCTCCAGAGGCTGAGTCCCGTGGGAGGACACGGCTCATCGGTCTCTCACCTAGCAGCTGGCGGATTCCAACCACGGACCTTCGGGTTGGCAGCACAACTCCTTATTGCTAAGCCATCGGCCCACCCCTAACGGACCATGGGAGAGTTGAGGGGAACACTTCCTCACGTTTGCCCCTTTCTGTCGGTGGGGACCCGGCAGGGGACAGCGTACCAGAAGTCTTTGCCGCAGTCGATGCAGGACAGGCACTCGCAGCTCCTGCACACGGCCACGTGCTTCTCCACCTGGGCCTTCTTCACCGACTCCCCGCACGCGTTGCAGGTGAAAAACACCATGGTCAGCTCGGGGTCCAACTCGCTCCGCCCAAACCAGATTTCAGGCAGGTCTCCTACTGGGAGGAAAAAAGAAGAAAAGTTAGCTCTGGAAACTGGAACTGCCAGTCCCAACACATGGTTCAGATGCTAAACGGTTTTTTAAAAAATTTTATTTCATAATTATTATTTATGTGTGTGTGTGTGTACTGTCGAATCGGATCTGACAGGTACAGGAGGAGACTGTCCCAGAGCATCTGGTGGGTTCGAACTGAGCACCAGCTAACATTTTTTTTAAAAAGCAGGTGTTTTAGTGCTGTCCTCTGGCCAGGAATATTTGGATCACAGTCTTCACTGTGTAGTTAGAAGGATGCTAAGTTATTATCTAACTTTTAAAAAAATTTTCTTGGTTTGTATATAGTCATTCCTACACATCGTATTTTGTGTTTTATGCAACCTTTCATGTATGTTGTGCTTCACTCCTGTGCTGTGTGTTTTATACAATCATGCACATACGTTATTTTTTTATATAATGAATCACCACGGACCTATGTCTATTATCATCCCATCTTTTCGCGGCTTTCCCATTCCTTCAGTCTCCCCCAAAACTCTGCAATCCCACAGATTTTCCCTCTTCCTGACAGCCACCTTATAAACCATGTAACAGAAACAAAGGGGATTGGAAATCTACTCTCTCTATAGCCCAAGAACTACAAGTCTAACCAGGAATGATGCTAAGAGCTAACATTCAGTGACGACATTCACCAGGTCCTGAGCACTCGTCTAAAAGCTTCACACGTACGAACTTATTAATTCTCAGAGCAACCCCAGAAAGAGCGGCTACCATTGATCATAGTTTACCTGAGGCAACCGACGCACAGAGAGGGTAAGTGAGTTGTGCAAAGTCACACAGCAGCAGAACCAGGCTGGTTTTTAGAAATGGGAGTGTTCTGGAAGGCTAAGCAAATCACCTTTCTTTTTCTAAGAGCTGTAAACTCTCCCTCCTGGGGAGAGAGAGAGCGAGAGCGAGAGCGAGAGCGAGAGCGAGAGCGAGAGCGAGAGCGAGAGCGAGAGAGAGAGAGAGAGAGAGAAGGAGAGAGGAAGAGTGGGATGGAGGTAAGGGAGAGGGAAGGAGAGAAGGAGAGAGAGAGGGAGAGGGAGAGTAGGAGGGAGAGGGAGAGAGAGAAGGGAAGGGAGGGAGGGAGAGTGGAAAGGAGGGAGGGGAGAGGGAGAAGGAGAGAGAGAGGAAGAGAGAGAGAGGTAAAGAGAAAGGGAGAGAGAGGAGGGAGAGAGAAGAAGAGAGGTAAAGGGGGAGAGGGAGAGGGAGGAGAGAGAGGAAGAGGGAGAGAGAGAAAAAGGGAGAGAGAGGGAGAGGGAGAGGGAGGGAGGGAGAGTAGAGGGAAGGAGAGAGAAAGAGAGCAAGTGCCCACATGCGTGACCTGGCAGCTCTGGTGGAGGAGTCTCACAGGGCATCTGTGTTGCCAACCAAAAGGCAGCGTGCGAATCCACAGGAGACAGACGGGAGTCTCTCCGGTCACCAGATGGAAGGCTCTGGGCCAGAAGTGAGACGGCGGCAGTGAGTTACCCACCTAGCCGGACAAGTACGTGGGAGCTTCGATGGCTTAGCGGGAAGGAACTGCACCAGCATGCCCGAGCTACGCAGTTCAAACCCATGAGCTGCTCGCGGGAGCAGGACCCGCAATCTCTTACGGACAATCTCTTACGTGGTTTACTCTCTGAAGACCCCCTGAGGGGGTCGGTTATGGGTCAGTTCCGAGTCAATGGTACAACCTGATAGGTACATAGACACTCATCTGTGAGTGGGTCATACTGCGGTGGACCGAGGGTCGGTGTGATGCGGGGAGTCACACCACCAGGATTTCAACCCTCCATGCTGCCGAGTGGCCGGACTGAGGCAGACCAGGCGGAAAGGCCTGGTGATCCGCTCGTGACAATCCTCCGAACACTGGGCATCGTGCTTGCTCTGGGCAGGTTGTCAGGGGGACTGACAGCCGGAAGTGGCTCGTGTGGGGAGAGGCCGAGGGTCAGGACGGGAAGGACCCTCCGTGAGAGGAACAAGCTGCAGAGATGGACGGTGCTGTCCACAGGAAGTGTCACCATGCGGCAGGGTCAGCTCACACACAGTTAACCACGCCCCTCAGGACCCCCCACTATTAACTAAAAGGACGACAAGCCTTCTCATTTAAGCGCACACGCAGATGATTAGCTCACTCTAACTCCAGCTGACCCTCCAGTTTCAGGGCTGGACACGGTACCGGAGGAGACGGTCCACCCTTCCCCGCCTGGAGCAGCCGGTGGATTCAAACTACCCACCAACAGGTTGGCAGCACAACTTCCTACCCACCAGATCTGTAAATCATAACATGTCCCCTAAGAGAATGGGAAGACGGGGTGGGGACTTGAAAGAGGTTTATAAAGTGCAGAAGCGGCCTAAAAATACTGTCTGTAGGTAGGGACTGAAACATTCACACAGGCGTAACCCCAAAACCCCAACCCCCAGCGACACTCCACGGGGTTCCCCAGCAGCCAACCGTCGCAGGTCGGAGACTGCCCATCCGTCACCCGTGGGGCAGCCGGTGGATTCCGGTCTGTACCCCGGCACCACCAGGAATCCTGAAGCACCCACGATATGAGCTGGGCCTGTACACCTTAGTGGAGGAGGAGGAGGAGGAGGAAGAGAGACCTCCTTCCCGTGGCTTCCCCTGCACTCGCTCATAAACAAACAGACCCCGTTCTCAAGCGCTGGGTTACTCCAGGCGGTCACAAATCCAGGTGCCCCAGACACTACCCCAAGATTAAATGTGTGTGTGTGTGTGTGTGTGTGTGTGTCCCCCCCGCCCACAGAGCTGACAAGCTACAGAGGTGCTATTGCCCTCCACGAAGTCTCAGGTATCCTGGAAGTGCTCTGGATTCTCCAGAAACCTTCCCCGGCTGTCGGGGGCTTGATAATGAGACTCTAGGTGGAAGCCGTGTTCCCCTATCGACAACGTGTCTGCACCCCCCCACACCCCCACTCACAAACTGTATGGAGATGCCACTGGGCTCAACAAACCCCCGTCATCTACCTGGACGTGCTCGGGATGCCCAGTAACCCTCCCGTCGTAGGCTGCTTTTATGACTAGATTCTAGGAGGAAGGAAGTTCCGCTCTAAGGAACGTGTTCATACGCACACACACACCCCCATTCACAAGCTGCAGGGAGATGCTACTAGTGCTCAACAAAACCCCGTCCTCTCAAAGTGACCTGGATGCCCAGAAACCTGCCACGGATGCACGGTGCTTGGAATACTGGATTCCAGGACGGCTCCTGTATACACCACGTGTACACACACGCAACCTTCCCACCCCCCGTCACAAACTGCACACACGTGTTATTGTCCCAGTAAACCCCCAGGGCTGAAGGGTGCTTTGATCACTAGAGTCAGGGAGGAATGCCACGTTCCACTTCAAAACGAAGACACAGAGAATTCCAGCTCAACTCCAGCATGATGGGAACGTGGCAGGAATCAAAAGGGAAGGACCTGGTCAAACGGCCGTGGAGCCACAGAAATGCCAGCAAGGGCCTCGGAGAGAGCCCTCTTGGGGGGGGCGGCACCCCTCCCTCCACACAGGTTCCGGGTCACTGCAGAGCTGACCAGGTCACTGCAAGCGAGAAGCACACTGAGTCAGGTCCACTCAGCCTTGAGTGGAAACGTCCGTCCTGGCCTGGCCAGTTTCCAAGCAGCGCTTGGTGATGGGGCCGCCTGTTCTCCTGAGGCCCCAGCCCTGAGGCCCGCTTTGGGTCGCCTGCAGGACAGCTTGGTCAGGAGGTGGGTGGTCAGCTCCAGCCCAGCACCGAATCCTCAGAAAGGCAAGCAGGGCCTGTGTGGGGTGTACCGTTCACCATGGACAGCTCTGTCTGTGAGAGACTGATGTGGGGGGACATGTCGGGGACCGTCACTCAGAGCAGCTGTGATGCCTCCCAAGGGTGACACAGCTCGATGAGGGGCCCACGGCGTAGGGCCAAGCAGCCAGCAGGTGCCCTCTGCCAGGACAGGGGCAGAACATTCATCGACCACCAAGAAACAGACAGTCACCTGTCACAGACTGCCCCCACCTCTGAAAAGGCGAGCCAGGATCCTGGCCTGAGACCTTATCTGAGCAGGCAGAGACCAGGTCTGTCACTCTTCACTCCCTAACCATGGAAAGAGTAGGACAGACACACACAGAGGCGCAGACAGACGCTGGCTTCATGAGAAATCGGGGAACAAACGGCGGTGACCCACAAGCTGTGGTGCCTGTCCTGGCAGCTGGAAGACTATGGCCAACGCATGGACAGCGCAGAAGCCACCTCGGCTGTCGGCAGAGTGATCTGCAGGAGCTTTCTAACGAGAACGCCACTCCTCTCTCCAATGGTGCCCCCACCCCTCTGTCTAATGACCCCACCCCTCTCTCGCATTGCCCAGGAGCCAGAATTGAGTGACAGCTGACCCTCCATCCGGTTGGCAGAGGCTGTAAATCACACGCGAGGAGGAGTCTGCCCACCTCTCTTCCTCGGAGCTGCTGGTGGATCTGAACCATCAGAGAGGAACGTGTCACTTTGGGGCTAGCAATGGAACCCCGTACGGACACGGCCCCCACAGCGCCCTGCAAGCCGGCTACCAGGCCAGGCTCCCGGGGTGCTGTGAGGTGAACCAACTCCCAGGCAATGAATGTGGATTTTAAATAAAGATCCTCTAGAAAGGAAAACAGCCCCCCAAACTCAGGGACGGCCCAGAGCTCGCTAACCTTCGCAGCTGAGGCCTGGTCTGTACCTTGGCTGTGAGGAGATGGCGTGGGGAGATGGCGTGGCCGTGAGACCGGATGGAGGCCCCCCACAGAACAGCCTGGCCTGGATTGGGGGCAGTGAGGCCGGCAGGATGGTCACAAAGTCAAAGTCTACCAACCGACAGGAACCAGGGATGCGGACAAAGATGTTCAGAGCATCAGCAAAACATGCCCGGCCTTGGGGACCAGCCCTTGGAG